GCTGGTTTCTGAGCTTCCTCTTTTGTATCATTCATTTTGAGTTCTGGTCTTTGGGAAGTATCAGTAGGGGTTGCTAATAAGGTACGTCGCTTCTGAGGGGAAACATCAGTACTGCTATACTCAACCACATTTGATGACGGAGTGGGGAGGAGGGCCGCCCGGGGTACAGCAGGCTTACTTGGCTGACTTGTAAGGCTTGCAAATATATCCTTGGGAACTTGAATTGATGGAACTGCAAGCTCTGGTGATGGTAGGCTACTATCTAATGCTGTCAAATCTTTATGTTCAGGTTCTACTAATTCTTCTCTTTTATCAAGGCCAGGGGTTGGAAGTAAAGTCACTCTTGGTGGAGCTCTTCTGTCAGCAATTTGTCCTCTTCGATCATTAGGAGGGCCTCTTGGATCCCTTTGATCATTAGGTGGTCCCCTTGGATCCCTATTTTCAAGAGGAGGGCCTCTTGGATCTCTTCTTTCTCTAGGATCTCTCATATCAGGCGGAGGCCCTCTGGGATCTCTTATATTGGTTGGAGGCCCCTTAGGTTCTCTCATATCTGGTGGAGGCCCTCTTGGATCTCTCATATCCCGTGGAGGCCCTCTTGGATCTCTCATATCATGTGGAGGCCTTCTAAGATCTCTCATATCATGTGGAGGCCCTCTAGGATCTCTCAAATTAGGTGGAGGGCCTCGAGGATCCCTTATATCAGCTGGAGGCCCTCTAGGATCTCTTCTATTAGGTGGAGGCCCTCTAGGATCTCTCATATCTGGTGGAGGCCCTCTAGGATCTCTTATATCCGGTAGAGGCCCTCTTGGATCTCTTGTATCTGGTGGAGGCCCTCTAGGATCTCTCATATCAGGTGGAGGTCCTCTTGGATCTCTCATATCAGGTGGAGGTCCTCTAGGATCTCTCATATCTGGTGGATGACCTCTAGGATCTCTCATATCAGGAGGAGGCCCTCTTGAATCTCTCAGATCCGGTGGAGGCCCTCTAGGATCTCTCATATCTGGTGGAGGACCTCTAGGATCTCTCAAATCAGGAGGAGGCCCTCTTGGATCTCTCAGATCCGGTGGAGGCCCTCTAGGATCTCTCATATCAGGTGGAGGACCTCTAGGATCCCTCACATTGGGTGGAGGCCCCCTAGGATCTCTCATATCAGCTGGGGGCCCTCTTCGCTCATTTGTAGGAAGTACCCTAGACTCTAAAATTGCAGCATCAAGAGGAGATGGAGAGGTGACATCTTTGCCAACTGGAGCATTTTCATCTTTCTCATCTCGAACTATTTGTCTCTGGATTTGTAGCTCATAAAGCTGGCTGAGCTGCTTCAGGAGCACTTGGTGTTGCTCATGACTCAGCTGGCCTGACTGCAGCTGTAGTTCAGCCTGACGGATGATGTCTTCCCATCTAAAATAGCATAACAATTTCTAAAATAACACATTACACTCTTGAAGATCAAAAATTCACGATTGTAGATTAGCACAACTTCATGCATTCAAGGAAAGTACAACATTTACATATACATAGCTTCTAGATTAACTTCATACATTCTGGAAAAGAATAATTTCATACATTCTAGAATTACACATTTTCATACAATCTAGAATAATACAACTTCATATATTCTAGAAAAAGAATACTTCATATATTCTAGAACATCACAACTTCAAACATTCTAGATTAGCATAACATTTTAAATAGCATCACTTCATACATTCTAGAATAATATAACTTCATACATTCTAGAATAGCTCAACTTCACATAGAATAATACAACTTCATACATTCTAGAATAACACAACTTCATATTTTAGAGTAGCATAACTTCATGCAGAATAATACAACTTCATACATTCTAGAATAACACAACTTCATATTTTAGAGTAGCATAACTTCATGCAGAATAATACAACTTCATACATTCTAGAATAACACAGCTTCATACATTCTAGAGAAAGACTCCAACCAGATATAGTCTCGATACAGTGAACTTATCAAACGACTAAATGAAATATTTTGTCCTAGTGACATTAAAATGAATACAATTAGTTATAATAAAAAGTATTTGAGCCAGGCCACAGAAAAAGGGGTCTTATTACAAATTTTTTCAATATTCTGATTTTTTGTTAAAAAGCACAAAGAGACCTTTCAAATGGCCATGGCTTGTGTTAACAATTTTTCCTTGCAATAATACTCTTTTAGACCAAAAAGTCGGATTTGAACTTAGCACATTTTCATCTTAATCTTTGGCACATTTTTGACTCTGTAGCACAATTTTAATTTTTGTGATAAGACCAGTTTTCCTATGGCCAGGCTAAGAGGAGGGAAAACCCCATGATTCAATTGATGACGTACAATTTCCTCCTTCGAGTACCTCCCTGCCCAGAAGTACGTATATTTATACTTCCCTCCATCTTGATTTTCAAAGTTTTCAAATTGACTTAGTTTTAAACCAATCAACGATCGACTCGCTAAACCAATCAGTGACGATGTCATCACAATACAGATTTACATTATAAGCGTATGTCATCTTTGAACCCTGGGGTTTCTCCCCCTCTTGGCCAGGCTCAAATATCTATCATAAATCTTACTTGTTGAGTGCAAGTTCCTTGGGTATCTCTATTTTCTGGGCTTCGGGGGACAGCGGAGACAGCAGAGAGGCACGCCTGGGGGGTGGGAACATACGGGGGCTAGGAGGTTGGATGTGTAATGATAGACCGGCAGGAGCACTCTCGGGGCCATTACGGTAATCCTTGTCTTCGCTCCCAAATAATTCACTAGAAATTACGATGAGTTACTTCTTTAAACAATTGTACAATTTCAATGATTTGAATTAAGTTTAGTATGTAAAAGATTAAATCTGGAAGGAATGCAATACAGTATATAGAGAAAATAACATATTTTGAAAAATACATGTAGACATTTAAGAACAGTCAAAATAAAAGAAGGTAGTTACTGAACAATCATATAAAATGATACTTATATTGGTGTAGGAAAAATGGCTATGGCTCTCAAACAACATTACATTTCTTTAAATGTTAAATTCTTCAAATACATGTGCATCCTACATAATGATTTCACATGTGATGAATATGCCACAAGGGGCTAGCTATATTAATTACACACATAGTCATTTCAGTTTTATCACTTACGATAAGTCTGCATCCATACGAGACCCATTTTTCTGGTCTTCATCTTGCTTGGCCCTTTTAGAAGGTGGCCCATCACGATTCAAGGGTCCCCATTCATTTCTTGGCCCAGACTCATTCCGTCCTCTTCTTAGAGACTCCCGTTGAGATCTTGGAGATCTACGATCTTCAGATCTTCCGAGAGGTCGTTGGCGATCACGACTATTTTCTCTGCTGTTTCCTCTTGATGATTTCGATCTTGGGGAATGAGGAGATCTTGATCTGCTTTTGGATCGAACTGATTTATTTTTCAAGCGATCACTCCCAGGAGATTCTGACCGGTCTCGGGATGTTTTCCTGCGATAGCTACGATCACGTCGACTCAACACACGATCTGATCGTGTCCTTGATTTTGAGGAGCGCCTGGAGTCATCTTTGTTGCTATCTTCATCACTACTATGACGTCGTTCAATTCGTTCACGCCGAGTCGTTCCACGACGTGCTCGACTATCACGATCCTCTTTTTTCTTGAACTCTTCATTTTTCTTTTTTTCTGCTTCACGTACATCTTTAGCTTTGATTGCACTCTCCTTTGAGTCATCCTTTTTAACCTTGTCTTTAGAATCTGGTTCTTTTTTATCTTTGTCCAAAACTTTTTTACTCCGATCTGAATCTTTTTTATCTCTTTCAGAGTCCTTTTTACTTCGTTTATCAGAAGAGTCTTTTGATTTTTTGTCTTTAAGTTTTGACTCTTCCTCTTTTGATTTAGTTTTTGATGTATCTGTTGTCTTTTTAGACTCCTCTTTTTTCTTTGGTTTTGGATCATCAAGGCATATAATGGGAGGTTCTGGAGGTAAAGGAATGGCATCAATCAAGACAACATTCGATTTTTTGGATTGATTCTTTACTACAACCTTATCAGTGAAATTATCCTTTTTAGGGCTTGGTTTCGGCCTTGAGCTGGAATGCGTCGTGTGAGTGACCTCTGGTGGAGGTTTTGCTCCAGTGAAAGTTAGTGGCGACATCTTGTGAGTAACATTCTGCGATGATGGAAAATTGCTTATAGGTGGAGCTGGTGGTGGTGGTATCCTTGACAATCTCGGGTCTCTATTGTTGGCAACACGAGGGTCACGTGTTGAGGGTCGGGATCCTGTAGAAGCTGGTGGGGGTCCTGGTGGGGGTTGAGAGGGCATAAGTGAGTGATACATCTCTGTTGTCCCAAAAGCTTCAATGGGCACTGCATAATCCATGGCTTGAGTATGCTGTGGTAGAAAGGGCTGCTGGGAAGCGTGTGTGTGTTGAGGAGCTGGATGTTGCTGGGAAGGCTGAACCTTCTGCTCATCCTGTTTTTTCTGCTCCTGTAACTTCTGCTCTTGTTCTTTTAACTGAAATAGTATAAAAACACACTATAAATTGTACATGAATTTAATAAGAGCTACAAAATGACTTTTTGTGGACTTCATAACATAATTTTCACAAAAACAAATTTCTTAAAAGATTGCTTTGATTCCACAAGTTTACATTGTTCTAAATAGTATGAATTAATGAAAAATATCGAACTTCCTTTCTCTACAGTAATCCTGTACTTCTACTTAATTTGATGACAGTTTTAATTTAGAGGATGTGCCAAATTGTTAAACAGTTAAAGTCCGCCAAATTGCCCAGTAATTTTAGTACCATTAGCAATTACCAATTACTAGTAGTAATATTGCAGGTCCGCCAAATAAAGAAGCTGCTAAAACATGTTCAAAACAGCAAATCTGCCGAAATAAGTAGCACAAAAGTATAAGTACAGTACCTTATCTTCTTTGGCTCTCAGTTCCTTTGCCTGCTGCTCAAGTTTTGCCTTTGTTTCCGCAAGCTCCAGTTCCAGCCTCTGTTGTTGCAGTTTCAGAAGTTCTTGTTGCTTAGCGATTAGCTGCTCCCGCATCTTTTTCTCCAGGTCCTCTGGTGTCTCCACCTTTGGTTCAACTTTAGCGATTGTATTGGATTTGACCATTTCCAAGACCTTAGCAGCTGTTGTAGCTGTTGTTGTGGATTCAGCTGTGGTTGGTGCAACAGGAGCTGCTGTAACTGCTTTCTGTAAATGTGAATAGTCAATATGTACGAGGGTTGTCCCAGAAGTAATGCACTATATGCTCTAACTTTATCAATACTTGATATTTTTCCATGAAATTTTCAGTGAATATTCCTTAGAATTATTTTGATTATTCTACAAAGTTTCATTTCGATTGATAATACTATAATAAAATCAAGTTTCCATCATGGAATACCATGGCCCTTCCTTCTCGCATCATAGATCAACTAAACACAGACAGATTTTTAGATGAGCTGTGTATCAGAATGCAAAATGTAGTGAATCTTAATTGACCTAAAACTTAGATATTCTTTTGTATGATATGTTCAGAAGTCAACTTTAGAGCTCTTAGTGACTCAACCAACAGAGCACAATGTCACAACAGAGCACCCTGACTCAACTATGGTACACAATGTCACAACAGAGCACTGTGACTCAACCAACAGAGCACAATGTCACAATATAGCTCTTAATGACTCAAACAACAGAGCACAATGTCACAACAGAGCACTATTACTCAACCAACAGAGCACAATGTCACAATATAGCTCTTAATGACTCAACCAACAGAGCACAATGTCACAACAGAGCACTATGCCACAACAGAGCACTATGACTCAACCAACATAGCACAATGTCACAACAGAGCACTAAGACTCAACCAACAGAGCACAATGTCATAACAGAGCACTATGACTCAACCAACAGAGCACAATGTCACAAAAGAGCTCTTAATGTCTCAACCAAGAGAGCACAATGTCACAATAAAGCTCTAAATGACTCAACCAACAGACCACAGTATTACAACAGAGCACTATAACTCAACTATTGTGCTCAATATATCAACAGAGCATTATGACTCAACCAACAAAACACAATGTCACAACAGAGCACAACGCTTCAAAAGAGCACTGTGCCACATGATTCCTCAACCAACAGTGCAGAATGTCTCATCAAAACATTTACAACAGTAGAGCAATATGCACTATGCCGCAACCAACTGTGCCCACTGTCTCAACAGAGCACCATCACACAACCAACAGAGCACAGCGTCTCAATCAACAGCGCACAATGTCTCAACCAGCAAACCACAATGTCTCAACCAAAAGATCACAATGTCTCAACCAGCAGACCACAATGTCTCAACAGAGCACGGTGTCTCAAAATAAAGACCACAATGTCTCAACCAAAAGATCACAATGTCTCAACCGGCATATCACAATGTCTCAACCAAATGATCACAATGTCTCAACCAGCAGACCACAATATCACCAAAAGATCACAATGTCTCAACCAGCAGACCACAATGTCTCAACCAAAAGATCACAATGTCTCAACCAGCAGACCACAATATCACCAAAAGATCACAATGTCTCAACCAGCAGACCACAATATCTCAACCAAAAGATCACAATGTCTCAACCAGCAGACCACAATGTCTCAATCAACATACCTCAAAGTCTCAACCAGCAGACCACAATGTCTCAACCAAAAGATCACAATGTCTCAACCAGCAGACCAAAATGTCTCAACCAAAAGATCACAATGTCTCATCCAACATCACAATGTCTCTACCAACAGAGTACAACTTTTCAACAAACCTAATGTTATCACTTTTATTACCTCTTGCTTATTCTTGAGAAACTTTGGGTTAACATGGATACTGCCAGACTCGGGCGCCTTTGCTGTGATTGGCCAAGCAGGATCAATCCCAGATACACGTACATCTATTGCATAAAGTTTGTGGCCAGGAAAGAGAGTTGACCACGTCTGGCGAAGTTTGAACATGGATTGTCTCGTCTTTTCATCCACCTACAAAAGTTATTTTTTTCAATTCCCTGCACAACCATCATTGACATTTAATAATACAATTCCTAATTGGATTAATTTCTCACCAGATAAATCATTTATTGAATTGTTGCTTCTGTCATTCTGTACATGGTTTATCTAATAAGTTTCTGTTCCTGATAAAAGTCAGTAGAAAAATTGGGGTTACAAAAAATGATTAGACAATTCAAATAAATCGGGAGAAAATCAGGATTTTTCAAAAAATCGGGGTCGCTTGGAAAAATAGGGAAAGTTTCACTTTTTGAAATCAGGATTCCTAAAAAGAAAACGCGAAATCAGGTTGGTAAACATGGGAGTTACAAATATTAAATTGACAATTTGAAAAATCAGGGTTTACAAATAATAATTCAAGAAATCAAGAGGTTCAAGGAAAAATCAGGGTGTCTCGCTGAAAAATCGATAGATTTTAAAGAAAAATAAAAGAGTATGAAGAAAATTGGACTTTTGACAAAAAAATCAAGATAAGCACTAAATATCAGGATTTCTTTGAATTATCTCTATGAGTCACATTGCAATATCTCAACCTGTCACTTTGCAATATCTTAACCAATCAGCAGTCACATAGCAATAGGGTCGCAACCAGTCACACTGCAATATCTGAAGCAGTCACATTGCAACACCTTAACCAGTCACATTGCAATCTGAACTAGTCATTGCAATGTCTCAACTAGGCTAGTCATTGCAATATCAGCCAGTCAGATTGCAATATTTCAAACAGCCATATTGCAATCAGTCAAACTGTATTCAAACATACTGTCCTCTAATTGACTTTCTCAACCAATCAGAATGCAGCATATATCTAGCAGTCATGTTGCAATATCACAACCATTTACTTTGAAATTACGCACCTTAATACTTTACAAGTCACATTGCATTATCTCAACCAGTCTCACATTGCAGTTTCACATTCAGTCACAATGCTATACATCTGTCAGTCAAATTGCAATATCACAACATGTCACATAAATATTACAAATCATACTGCAATATTGAAACACATTAAAGTCACATTGCAATTTGCAATATCTTAACCGTTCACACTGTATCTGAGTAAGTCGCGTTGCATTGTCTCAACCAGTCTCAAATTGGAGTATCACTATCAGTCAAATTGCAATTTTACAACAAGTCACAATGCAAATGCAATATCACAATCAGTCACATTACAATATCACAACCAGTCACACTGTAATATCTCAACTAGTCATATTCCATCTCATGAAGTCATATTTAAGTATCTCAACCAGTCACATTACACTCTGTCAAACTTGCAATCTGTCAAACTGTATCTTAACAAGTCACATTGCGTCTCACAAACAGTCACATTGAAATATAGGCCTATCTACCAGTCACATTGCAATATCACAGCCAGTCATATTGCAATATCGAGGCCAGTCACATTGCAGTATCTCAACCAGTCTCACATTGCAATATCTCAACCAGTCTCACAAACAGTCACATTGCAATATATCTACCAGTCACATTGCAATATCTCAACCAGTCTCACATTACAGATCTCAACCAGCATGACCAGTCACATTGCATTATCTCAACCAGTCCCACATTGCAGTTTCTCTAACAGTCACACTGCAGTATCTCAACCAGTCACATTGCAGTATCTCAACCAGTCTTACATTGCAGTATCTCAACCAGTCCTACATTGCAGTATTTCAACCAGTCTTGCAATGCAATATCTCAACCAGTCACATCTCAGTATCTCAACCAGTCACATTGCATTATCTCAACCAGTCTTGCATTGCAGTATCTCAACCAGTCAAATTGCATTATCTCAACCAGTCTTGCATTGCAGTTTCTCAACCAGTCACATTGCATTATCTCAACCAGTCTCACAAAGTCACATTGCAATATCTCAACCAGTCACATTTCAGTATCTCAACCGGTCACATTGCAATACCACAGCCAGTCACATTGCAATATCACAGCCAGTTACACTGCAATATCACAGACAGTCACATTGCAATATCAAAGCCAGTCACATTGCAATATCTCAACCAGTCATATTGCAATATCACAGCCAGTCACATTTCAACATCACAGCCAGATTGCAATATAATGACCAGTCACATTGCAATATCACTGCTAGTCACATTGCAATATCACAGCCAGTCACATTGCAATATCACAGCCAGTCACATTGCAATATCACAAGCCACCTCAACCAGTCATATTGCAATATCACAGTCAGTCACATTGCAATATCACTGCTAGTCAAATTGCAATATCACAGCCAGTCATACTGCAATATCACAGCCAGTCACATTGCAATATCTCAACCAGTCACCTTGCAATATCACAGCCAGATTACAATATCATATCTAGTCACATTGCAATATCACAGCCAGTCACATTGCAATATAACTGCTAGTAGTCACATTGCAATATCCCATCCAGTAAAACTCAGATGACACCTCCATCTATCAAATTGCGATATGTCAACAAAATTGCATTCGGTTTTGAACAAAATATTTATCCGCAGGGTGCTGGTGTTGAAGATCAGAACAAATGTGACCACAACATAAATGGTCACAGGTAGACTGCAATGATGGGGTCATTATAAACTAGAAGTGTGCGACATCTCTTTGCCATGTTCAAATCTTGGAATGCTGCTTTCGGTTGGCTCTTTAGACATATTCATGCATTAAATATTACACCCTGATCCATGACATGAAAAGTAAAGTATGTACTGTAGTCCCTTGTATTATGTTTTTGACAATATGATATTGAATATTAAATATAAAATATACCGACGGAAACATAATATCATATTTTCCGACTGCCCGAGGCCAATATAGAATTCAATTTTACATTATTATTTAGGCCACAATTTCAAGGTCACTTATTAATATAATTCATGTAAGGTCAATATTATTCATGTTAGGTCATTATTATTCATGTAAGGTCATTATTATTCATTTAAGGTCCTTATTATTCATGTAAGGTCATTATTATTCATTTAAGGTCATTATTATTCATTTAAGGTCATTATTATTCGAGTAAGGTCATTATTATTCATTTAAGTTCATTATTATTCATTTAAGGTCATTATTATTCATGTAAGGTCATTATTATTCATGTAAGGTCATTATGATCTCACTGCTTAAATCCTTATAAAAACATCCACCCAACTTAGGCTCTAATGGACAGATGGATGTCATGCTAGAATTAAGGCATCAATGAACATTGTAATACTGTACATCAGTTCAAATACTGCACTTCTAATTAGTTTGGCGGATGGGCAAATTGTTTAAGTCCGCCAAATTTCCTGGTGATTTTAATACCAATATTCAAGTCGGCCAAATTAAGTAGCCACCAAATGTTCAAAAATGCAAATCCGTCAAACTAAGTAGACGTACAGTTGTGATTGGTTCACTGAAAGTTAACAACATTGACCACTGATCGTTGTTCTGCTGCATATTATGATGCGTTGTCGGATTGTCCATTGTCAATCATATTTTCTAGTTTTTGAGCATCTCTCTTCGATAAACTGAAAAGTTACAGTAGACTGGTAGAGCCTGTGTACCTATGGAGCCACAAAAATGTGGTCACTATATATAATGATCACATGACTCATGTGTTCCCATGTTCCCTAGACACAGGAGTTCATTAGGGCAGGTTTTACTGTACACCAAATGTTAACCCTGAAAGTATTGTTGACCTCAACCTTCGATATGTATCAGTCAACAGTACTTTTAAGGTTTACAGTTAAGGTTTACAATATACAATTGTAGACCTCTCTTGAGGTCAACTGTCAAAATTGTATACCAATACTGTAAACCTTGAAAGTACTGTTGACCGAGAGGCATCCTCCGATCGCAGGGCTTCAAAATCCAGAATATATTCTTTCTTTTTACCCCTGCAATAAGCAGTTAACATTTCCCCGATTAAGAACTCACAATCTGATTGGCTGTCGCAACACTGCGACAGAAATCATGTATAAGCGATTGCGCATCATTAGATCACGTGATTCAGTTAAATCGGGCGCTTTCAAATTGGTTATAGCAGGGGGAAGAAGGAGGTACGGATTCTGGACACCTGCTTAGGAGGATGGAGACAGGAGGTCGAGATCAACAGTAATCTCAAGGTTTTTTGTTGAGGTATACACTTTTGCCAGTTGACCAAATAGAGAAGTTAACAATTGTTTTGTATAGTCTAAAGAATATACTAATTGGAAGGGTATATTATCGAACACAAATGAACATATTTGATAAGTGTAGGTATCATTTTTTAGCAAAAAAATTCCCAAACCGTTGAATATTTGTAATTTTTTTCATAACTTATTTTTTCAATTTTTTTCAGAATTAAAAAAACATTCAACATTTAAAAAACATTTTTTTCAAAAGTATCGGTCAACAGTACCTATTCGGTCAACAGTAAATATTGTTGACCGCTCATCAACCAATCAGAATTGAGTATTTCAATTGAGGTACTAACAATTCAAACAGTTGACCTCAAGGACAGTGTACAAATACAATGCCAGAATACAACTTTGACAGCCAACCAAATGGACATGATGGATGAGATGTTCCGCTTGTTTAAATTAGGTTCATTTTGCATTAAGTCAGTTGGTCTTGGGATTCTGAAAAGTGTTCTAATAACAGAAGTGTTCCACTTTACAGTTTTCACTTTATTAAAGGACAACTGAAATAGCTTTTCTCAACTTGCAGCTACAAAAATGCCGTTTTCTCCATTGTAAGCCCACCGTAGAGTTCTTGCGATAGCCATTATAAAAAAATAAATGTTAGATAACTGCTAACGGTCATAGATAACGAAATAAAACTGATAAATCAAATTAGCCCCCACGTGATTAGTAACGTCATATACAAAATATAGCTTTGGTTTATTGGTTCCATAGTAATCACAACGTCACGGCAACCATAGGATTGTTGCATAAACAAATAACAAAACATTTTGGCATTATGACGTCATGATCTAATGGACCAAAACAGGCCACGTGGGGACCAGTGAGAGATCACGTGGTGATCAGTGAGAGATCACGTGGGGGCCAATAACGTCACAACCAATCGAATATTGCTTATTAAGCAGCTATAACGATCGACAGAGTGAAAGAGAGAGAAAACATGTCCAAATACATCTATCAAAAATTATATTGATTCCTTTAGGTTAAAAATACCATTTCATATCTGCTTTAAGTAGGTAAATAGAACGGAACACTAGTTAAAGAACAGAAATGACATGAAAATATACCATTCAGCTTAGCTTATTAAAACATAGCTTTGTCTCTACTCTTTCCAATTAAGGGAATCCTTTGAATTCACTGAGCCAATCAAAACTTGTCTTCACAATGACGACTATGCGACTATATGGTGATTTCCTCTAAGTCGGTATTAGTTGGCCAATGGCAGTTGGGGACTGGGCTGTTGGACTGTAAAATTTGCTTAAGTCTTTAGATGTTACTTTAAACTTATTTCTGCACTAGGGTTTTATACATGTTATATACAGTAAAACCTGTCTAAGTGGAATACATTTGGCTCCTTTTATGATTTTATGAATATGATCCACTTGGAAGGTGTTCCACTTGGAAGGTGTTCCACTTAGACATGTAGAGGTTCATTCAACATTAATCTGAATTCTTCCACTGACAGAGGTTCTCCATCTGTTGTAGAGGTGTTCCACTTAACAGGTTCCACTGTATAGATAACTAATCTGCAAGTCAATGTAACTTTTCCTATGGTATATCAGACTTGGTCATATACTTTTTGGTGTGGGGAGGCTTATTTAACACTATGATGTATTCTAGAATCAGCTGAAGGTATGGATAGTAAAACATGTGTATTAGATGGAATGCCCTCTTGTATTTCCCAAAATTATTCCCTGGAGAGCGTTCCTTTCCAGTGAAGGTATACTCTTTTTGAAAAAAAATGTCCATATAAGTGGTGTAAGATGTAACCCTTACCACTTATAGGGATCAAGGCCTTCCATTATACTGGTTTTACTGTACTGCCAATTGCAATCACAGTCATTAGCAATAAATTTGGAAAAACGAGTAATGTAAGCAGGGACAAAAATTTTGATTGCCAATATACAGATATATAAAACTTTGAAAATCATGTTTCCATTTTGTGGAACCCTGGGACACAAACTAAGAAGGGCAATTGTCAACAGTATGTGCTATTTCCAAATTATGGTATCACCAGTGTGCATCATTTGCCACTCACACGGTTTTTCTCTGTGCATGCTATTCATGCAGCTTATGTGGCTGGGTCTTGAACTTTTAACCATGTCAAATGCACTTCAATACCATGATGCTTATGTACTATCTGGCTAAGGCTGCATTTTTGAATACCTCCGGTGCAAGTCAATTGTTTAAATACAAGTATCTCCCCTGGTATCACAAAAATTATCAATGGGTCCTGCGGGATGAATAACATGGTCACACGTTTTCAACAAAACAGCTCATCCTAGCGCACTAACACTGCTTAATTCCACTGTGATAATCTCGTCAATCACACTCGCGTTGCCTTGTCACTGATACACCACAGGAGTGCCATTGAAATAAACCAAGGTGTCTTTCAAAAGAATTATGTGAGTGTAGTTATGCTTGAATGAGCTGTTTTTGTTGAAAACGTGTGACAATGTAATTTGCCCCGCTCAGCTTATTGTTCTTGATTTGATACCCGGGGAGAAATCATATTATATCGCACAAGTGACATGCGCCACAGGCAGTCAAAAACACAGCCTTATTTTCTCACTGAGCTAGATTCTTAAGATGTACTATGAAAATAAGTGGGTGTAGAGGCATAAGGAAGGCAAGGCAACTGATAAAACAAAATTTTACAGAAAAAATAAAAATATGTTGTGAGCTGAAACTGTGAAAATGAAGTTCAACAGTAGGCCTATCAAATTGCCTCCCCCTTCTTTAATCCCTCTAAACTAGATGCAAAAATTCTTATTTTCAGAATTTAGACCAGATTTTGTCAAAATATGCCAAGATTTCATGATTTTTCTCATTCGTAAGTGGGTGTAAATGGTTTTACAAATGGATGCAGCGCACACTTGCTTTAATTCTGGGAGATCACTTGATATTGTGTACTATCACCAGTATGGATCCTCATCGAAAGATGCTATTGAACAGTGTTATGTGTAAATAATTCCTTCAGGTTAACACTGATACTTCTGCTTTATATATTGCTAGGTTTAACAACACTAATGTAAATTCTCACAAGTTATTACTAACACCAGGTTTGAATTTTCACCATCAATGGCACGAGTTCTTATTAAATTTATTATGGTATTCACTATTCAGGTATTAGTTTGATCTTTTAAAAAGTGAATTTCAATAATCAATATTGGGTATTATTTATTTTTGGGTTCTTACAAGTAAACTAAAGAATAATGATAACCAACATCAAAGTGAGTTAGATGTGAACTCTCACCAGTATGATGCCAGAATGCTACTGTTTTGTATTTCAGTATATTAAACAGCTGACTTACAAATGTTCATGACTGTATAATCTAGAGCACAGAGGGAGTTTCCAAAACACAAATATCCGCACATCTAAATAATGTTATATTGTATTTCACTCATGTGTACTTTTCCCAGTGTAAATTCTCACCAGTATGAATGGATGCACATGATAATCTAGAAATTTTGTCATTATAGTCAATAATGTAGTTTGTACTATCTATAGTGTGAATGTGTACCGACTTAAAACTGAAATTGTGAAAACAATGTCCAATGGTAGCATAATCGTGGTAAAGGCCTAAATTCAGCCTTTGAATTCGTACAATTTCAAGTGTTAAATCAGACCTAGGATTTCCTTGCTTTTTTCTCCAGTATGGATTCTCACAAGTAAGCCTGGTCTCAGCAAAGACGTTTTATAAGTTTGAACTCTCACCAGTATGTACTTTTTACAGTAGGTTTTTTCATTACATTTATAGGTGTCTTCATTGATATTTTCAGTAAATCCTTCTTATCAAAGGAAATTGACAGTTAATATTCATCATTTTATTTACATTGCGGATACACTATGGGACTGTTGAAAGACATGTTTTTGACGTAAAATAATGTAATCAGTTTTGTTTTTGCAAACAGTACATATTTCCAATTACTGTTTATGAGTGAGGATGTGACTGTCCTCAATAATGGAATAAATGGTAACCTTTTATTTATGTATAAATATGGATTGTGGTTCATTCTCCATATTTGCACACTTAGTCTCAATATTATGCATAAGTATAAACAATAAGATTGAAAATGAAAATCTATTCTTGAACTAAATACCGATAATCAAACTTTAACCTTTTTTCTGGTAAAATTGGATAAATTAACCTTTTCTGGTAAATAAAACTTTAGAGCTACACTTAAATTTTATTAAAAATGGTATTGTATTGTTAAATGGTAATTAAAAGCTCAATCAAAAGTCAAGAGCTATTAAAACAGTGCTATTTGACAAACAGCATTCTATAATAATACTGTTTTGGCAGTCGAGTTCCCCAAATATAAAGAAATAAGATGAAATAACACTGCAGGTAGTCAAATACTGACAAGACAATTTTTTGTGATATTCAAAATGTGATAACAAGACTAACAATAAAAATTCGAACACATTTTGAGAAAAAACACATTTGAATATAGCACGAAAAACAGCCGACAAGTCAATATATGTTACGCTTTTTATATGCTGATGCTGACCTTTTCAAAAACTCCACAAAATGTTTGGACAATATTGTTGGTGAATGCTTGAACGTAGTTCCCCTCGTGGACATTCTTCATGATGGAATCTATTAGGTAGAGGCACGGCAACTTCTCCGTAGGTTTCGCCTGTGAGGAAGGAACAACAAACAAAACATAGCAATCATAAAAACAATGGTGAAAAGGATAAATTACGTTTAAGAAAAACTGAGAGTTGATCAATAGTTGTTCAGGCTTCTGGCATCTTTCTTCATGTACACTGGTTGTCTGGCTTCCAAGGTGACATCTGAGTTGCCATGGTGACAAAGTTGCTGTGGTGACATCATTGATCATCGCCTCGCCTCACATGGAAGCTCATGGTGTATTCTGGCTATTTTGGAGACTTGTAGACATCCTTCCATCTGTCAGTGCTGTTTTAAATCCTGGTTTTGAACCCCATAGGTGGACATAACGCTACCAGGACAAAAATGTTAGGGTCAATGGTCACAGTTGATGAAGTTTTGAGTCACGACTTAAATCTAGCTGTCAAAAAATGTGATATAATGATAATCAGGAATTTTCCATGTAAAAGTGAGTTTGTTCAGGATCAAAATTTTAGCCAAAATTCTACATTTACTAAACGCATTTAATTCTTTAGAGAAATGGTTTACGCAACACCTTTTTATTATGTAAGCAAATCCTGGTTTTAAGCCATTTCTTGGCCTGGTTTTAATACAGTATGTGTAAAATGTAGGGAGACAATGAAACATGTATATTGGTCTGATATAAGGAGACCTGATACTGTTTTGATCAATGGTTCCATGTGTTGAACACAAACTTTTTCTCTCTTGTACAACTCATTTATTCAGTTCTGTCCAAAACTGTCCAAAATATGCCTGTTTTCACAATTTTCAAGAAGCAATCTTAAGTTGCAAACATTTTGGAGCCAATTATTAAAATATAAAGCGGGGTCATCACCTTCGAGTATTTGCTTCAATGTCAGGGAGATCGTTGCCATGTGTATATTCAATTAATGTTTTCCCAAATATTGTACACTTATCTGATTAACTTTTTAAATCATTGTCTCGTTTTGACCTATGGATAATCATTGAGAGCAACCCAGCTGCATTTCAAAATAAAAATTAGTTTGAATTTTTAAATGAAGTTAATGATTAAAAAGGTGAAAATCTGGCTCCAGGTCAGCTTTTGATTGGTTTAGCTCATTAAACTTTCTATCAAATCATAACTCAGAGGTTATTAACAAAAACTTCACAAAGTTAGGAATACCTAAATCAATTGTTGTAACCATGGATATGATGACATCATATATCATAGTAAGAGAACAATGGATTCAGCAATTCTCAACTCTTATGAACTTTCTGTTAATGACCCCCAGGCCTGAGGGGTCATTATTTTTGCGACAACTTCTGCCAGTTATCCTACAAGAGTTTCAAATCTGTCCTTGCAATGCATGTTGTTTATTGATCTGTGAATTACTGTTATACAAGGCATCAATATGCAAAATGTCACCACCTGCCAGTCATTAAAAAGATGCCTAACACCCACCATCAGACAACATCAGTAAAAAAGATTGAGACTAGAACGTATGTCACCACTTGTGGTGATGACATAAAAAGTATTGTATGTATGTTGACTGTCTGTGTTGATGCTTCCAAATTTGCTTAAAGAGGCTCTATGCCATAGGATAGCACAATCAAAACCCTCTAGACCTTTTTGCATACTGAGTTTCACCACATATTTACCAAACTAAGTTCGATTGAGTTAAATTCTGGAGTTTGGTTGTTCTGTTGATTATAGCAATATTTCGGCAATAATATACAAATAAACTATTCTAAAGATATACCCATGGTATGTGAGATGACCAATAACAATAAGACATCATTGATTGTCTGGGGAAAAAACCTATGGCATACTGCATCTTTAAAGGGATATGATGGACAAGACTCAGGGAGTCAGTCAAAGTGAATGTTGACAATTGACACTCAAGTTTTGCTTTCAGTTTTGTTTGCAACCAAAACTGTGTATCAGTGTATAGAACTAAAGTAAAACCTGTAAAGTGGAACACATATAAAAGTGGAACACTTAAATTGAAAAGCCACTGCTGTAAGTGGAACACTTTTAAGAGGGACAAATGGAATTACACTTACACAGGTTTTACTATATGTTCTGGAGATATGAAAGATGATATTGTGTTATTTAGTTACAAATGTACTTCAATCAGATCTCATGGTTTCATAAAACAGGCATTTGTTCGCTTTCCTCCCATCAGCTGGCTGCAGTGATTCGCTTTCAATGATTGACAACGGACTGAGTAAGAAACAACAGGCAGTTATAATTTTAACATGGAGCTAGCAATTTTCAAGAAGACACACAAGAGTGTCTCTGTTCTCTGTAATCATGCGGTCCTAACTTCGACCGTTAATTTGAATTTTTGACCTACCGGATGTTTGAAAATCAAGGATTACAAGTCTCATACTGCACCGTTTTTCTTCAAACTTGTTCTATTCAAAGCATAACAAAAATCCCTTTCTGATGGTACATCATTCTCTTAAAAAGAGTCCCTACTTCCAGCTGCATTTTGGTCCCCAGCTGTAAGAAGGCCTTCTAACAGCTGGGGACCAAAACGTTGCTTGAACGAGGGACTCTTTACAATAAAGCAATGCACCGACAGAAAGGCAATTTTGTTTTGCTTTTAATAGTATAAGTTTGAAGAAAAACGGTGCAGTATGAGACTCACAATCCTTGATTTTTGAACACCTGGTAGGTCAAAAATTCAAATTAACGGTCGAAGTTAGTACCGCATGGTAATGTAATGCTATATTTTGATAAATGGCTTTACCTTGTGTCTGAATGTCACAATTATATGGCAGCTTTCGCAACTTAGCATTTGATGACATGAACTGTGTTGAACTGCATAATACAATAACAATATGCAATTCTAGTCACTATATTACATCCGAACATGACTGTATTCACGCCTTCTATAAACTGTAAACAAAGTCAACATTTCACCCGGGGTATATTCGCGAACAAAACCCCTGGTAATACGTGTAATGTGTGACGTCATAGTGGCGGGCCGTATTAATTGCGGACCATAATGAATATTCGAAACATTTTGGTGAGATTTCAAGTTAGAATCGTAATATAGACCTCAGAGCAGGTGTAATATTGTCGAATACACCCCTTAGGGCTAGGCACAAAAGCTTTTGAACCCCTCACTCCCTTCAGTCGTTTGGGGTACAGTAAATGTTTGTGCCTAGCCCTGCGGAACGACAATATTACCCCTGTTCTTCGGTCTATATTTCTTAATTAAGTGATGGAATCATTCACCTAATTGCAGCATTCACACAGAAGATAATAATGAGGCAAAAAGCACTCCTTGCGTGATAGATGTATGAGGGCACTAGAATTTCAGAGCAAATAATATGGTTTGAACCAGTGGAAACTAAAAAGAATTAAAGTTCTCAATTTCTGTTTGATGTTGAAAGGTACCCATGGGATTGGCTGTTAATAATGAATAACTGAATGAGGTCGACTGCTATGCTTGGGTATATATAAGAAAAAATAATAAAAATGCTGTCAAGAAATTACTACAGGTTTTCAATCTGTATCACATTTTTTAGAAGTTGACATGAAAAGTTGTGAAAAGGAAATCTGTAGGCTTATAAATATTAAAGGGTAATTTTATTATCTGACTGATAGTTGCATTTTGAAACTGATGAGGGAACACCGCTTTCTCCTTCAGATAAAAACGGGTTTTTATTTCCTTTGTGAAGATGAAACCATAACAGAGGTAAAATTTTTCTTTTTGATTCAGTAACTTGGGTTTATTTAACATTATTCGATTTGGAAATTATCAGTTTTTTATCTGTTTTAATGGATTTGGCAGCAATAAATTAACCCGAGTTATATTTCATGCGCACAAATAATATAATTTAATGGCAATAATGTACATCAATATCACAGTAAAAAAACATTTTAATACAATTAATGCAGATTTGGGTGTGGTGTTAATATTTGGGAATAGGTGAAAAAATATTAATGCGGGATAATACGTTGCGGACCAAATATGTTGCAACAGATAATAACTTTCCTTGCTTGAGTGATTAATTTAAGATGTCACATTGCAGTCTATGGGATTGGCATATCCTCTTCTGCCTTAGCTACATCGAAGGTAGCAAACTTCCATAGTCTCAAGATCAGCTTCACCACCAGACATTTTTGCACCTTGGTGTCAATTCAATACTTTTGCAGTCAGCAATCCATCCTTCCTCGTTCACTTTTGTATGATTTGGATTAGTTGAAAAGATGTCGTTTAGATGCAATTTATTTCACTTAACTGTGAAAATGTGTGGCTGACTGAAATTACGAGTAGTATACTGGCACAAAATGCGAATTTCAATTTTGATCCTGAACAAACTCACAAAATAATTGAATTATATAAATGGTAATAACAAGATAACCGCAATGCCTAGGATCGGCAAATCTTAGTGAACATCCAAAAGGTGTCGAACAATACTGCTAGAAATCATATTCAAAAATAGCCACCATATAAGATGAATTACCAAAAGATAATCTATAAAATGGCCTCTATAAAAGTGGCCCACTCAATTATATATCTAATTATTGATAAATTGTATTCATATATTAAATATATATCAATGAAATTGCTATTTTTCCAGCTATAGCAAACTTCTTTAATTTAAATAAATCGCAGTAAAACACAAATAAAATGGTAGAATTTTCGAAATGTTCTCTCCATCTCCCCTCAGATTTGATCTGATGGATTACATTAATTATTCAGTTGAGAATGTTGAATGCTTTTAGATTTAAAGATCTGATAAAAGCGAGCAAAACCGCAGGTTGTTCACCATATAAATTGAAGTCCACGTTACTATGATTGAAACGGGCCGGTAATACTTATTTCCCATTGTGAAGATATAAATAGGTTAAGATGAAGCGATATCATACACTGCTATGATTTCTTCCCGAGTTCTTGTCAGAAATGGTCAGTAATTGTCTTAACCATAAAACAAATTTAAATCACACATCATGCATAATTTTTTTATGGAATGAACTGTCTCTGACTCTCTTATACATGTTTCAGATTTATGCCCAATAAGAATTGTAAAGTTTTAACAAACGAATGATGTTACTTTCACGGGGAAATATCCTTTCAATCAAAAACCTTTCATTAAATAAGTTAAATGAAACTACTTATTCTAGCTGTTTACTTGATTGTAGAAGGGCGGGGGTAAAACACCACAGGACTTCCATTATTGCTTGTAGCAAACTGTTAGATGTCCAAGCACTGGAGAAAATAACTGTTCAATAACTGTTTAATTTGAAAACCTAAGGCTATAATAAGTGGGATTCTTTTTGAGATCTTGTCGGTCATTCTTACTGTGCATAACTACAATTAAATGTAACTATTACTCTAGAATTGAAATACAATTGTATTTCAATGCTTTGCATGGGGTAGAGTAACTATGAAATCTATGAGCTAGATAGATCTTTTTTGGTGATATTTATGGTCAGAATATATCAACTCTCTGTATGGACTGATTAACGAGTTGGAATATAGATAAGAGTAAATTGTGGAAGTCATACAGCACCATTACCAGTTCCAATATGAGATACCTTCACTTATTTTGCTCCCCTCACAATGGTTATAATCACCAAGTAACAAATCAAATAGATTTACTACATTTATTACATTAGTCATACATAAAATGCTAGAAATAAAAATATAAGAATACCTGAAAGAAATACTGATTAAACATAATACAATCAAAAGTCCATAGCATTTCATTATAATACATAATATCATGTGTAAAATAAACAAGAGTTGTTTCGAGATGAATGATGTTGGCATGAAAATAAGGTTATAAAAGTATACTGTCTGGCCAAGAAAACTGAGTCCACTGTTCACAATAAAAGACCATCTACCAGGTCAATATTGTTTCAACATCTGTCTCAATCAAACAACTGAAGTAATGTACTATCCACAGTTGACGCGCATATAATTTTTAAAATGATTATGTAATCATCTCAAAAATCAAATGTCCGTCAACTGCGGCAATTCAACTATCTTCAACGTTGATTATTTTTTATAATGAGACCAGTTTCAGTTAGCCTAGCCTATGTATATGAAAATGCATGACGATGAATCGATGACCTTCAAAAAATCATGAAAATAACAGATCGATTGAGGATATGAAAAATAACAAGAAACCTGCTTATCTAGAAATTTTATAAATGAAGAAACCTTGTGTATGTGTGTCTCGATGACTTGCACAATGACATCGGAATACTGGGAATATTCTTCGGCGAGCATTGTTAACATGTTGATGAGAGGTTTGCTGTTGAATTTGAGGTCGGACAGCGATGACCTGTACTCTTCTTTCACCTCCTCCGTCATCTTGCCAATAAGTCCCTCACAATCTGTAATACACGATTAATGTCTAGGAATAGTCATTCTAATGTTCAGGTATCTGAAAGCCTCAAAATTAGTATAAAGATGTTGGAAATTTTTCAAGTTCGTTTTTCATTATTTTCCAAAATGGCGTACAGTACCAACCTAGGAAATGTTACGAGTGATATGATTGGTTAAGATTTTAACCTAGAATAATTTAGCCAATCAAATCTCTTAATACAAAAAGAGGAAAAATCCCAAAATATGCTCGTCAACATTTTGCTTATTTAAAGAATATTCAATGATAATTTAGCTATGAAATCTCATCAGACTTAAATTTTCACATTCCAAGAATCGTTTTGATACCATATTTGGAAGGTCTTACTCTTGAAGTGTCCTCAATTTCGGTTTATAGATTTCACTTTGGCAAACGCCCCACAATGCACTTCGACAGAATAAGCTTCCGGTATGCATAATTTTTGTTTTTATTTTTGACAGATGACACATACTTGCAAATAACTCCTGCGTGGATAAATCAACGTGGATGTATTTTGTTATATCATAAGATTAATACTTGCGTAGTGTAAAAGTATGGTTTGAAATCCATAAGAGTCTGATTAAGGGAGATTTGGAGACATAAAGTAAGAACATAATTTTTTATCAATTCTTTCTGCTGGGGTAGCCTTGCCTATAGCCTAGTTGGCCTTGTCAATCAGTGTAGTTTTTTGCTCATTTATTCTTCCATGTAATTGGTATAGGTATTAACCAAACATCATGATACTTTGATTTTGCTCGTTATGCCCATAGCTCAGGTGTATTAGCGATCGAGGGTTACGACCAGCACACGTGTGAAGCCTAAAATGCTCATGAGATGATGAGGTTAGGTTAGTAAATGTACCAGTGCATGTGTGTGTTTAAAATCACTAAATTTATTGATGTTTAATTTACCGAAGCGAGCTGAGCAAGGACAGGAATTGAATTGAATTAATAATAAAAATCTGACTTGTTACTTATCTGAAATCTGAAGGTTCAATAGACACAATAATTTACGCAGGAATTTATTTTCACAATCACGGAAAGTTAAGATTGTTAAAGCGATAATAGGGCCTGAGAATGGTTTGGATCATTTCAATTGCTACATAACGTAATGGAACAATGTCGATCGATACAGATGGCAGTTGTACATGTAATGGTTTATTTATTGAAAGAAATTTGACTGGCAATTCCTGTCATCTGCAGTCTAATTTCTGTCATGGGCTTTCAATTAGGGTCTAGTTGAAAACCCATGTTTCTATGAGATAAATCATTTTGCTTTACTTTGATATTCAAATACATCATGTTTTAGATCGCATCGCATTTAGTCAAGAAAAGAGGTCATTTAAAATTAAAGATGATCAACGTTCAAGAAAAATCATTGAATAAATGAGTAACTAGTAAGCGTAGTCTATATCCATAAAATATTATTCCCTATAGCTATTTATTTTTGTGTTTTCAGTTAATACAAACATATAAACATCAACTTAAGTACAAATGGAAGACTATACTTACCTTTTCAAAGTTGTATTGATAGGAAATGCCGGAGTCGGGAAAACATGCCTTGTTAAGAGATTCACCCAGGTAACACCTTTATTATCTTTCTTAAATAAGGGTCAAGGTCACTATTTAAGGTCAATATCAAAAAGGTCAAATACTGATATGAGTAGAAATTTAAATGAGTTGGACCTATGGTAACCTGTGGTGATCACTTTTAAATCATGTACATATGTGCTTCTACCAGACTCCATGTGCCCCCCGGGATGTGCCCCCCCCCTCCATCCCTCCCCTTTGGTTTACTATTTATATAAGTATTAAGTAAGTTAATAGACCAGGGACTATGGAACACACAAACAAACCATGCTCAAGAAATCTATGTAGAACATTTAATCAAGTTTTGTTGTCATTATCATGCCTCATATACATTTCCAGCATAGTTGTTTTTCCATTATATATATACAAAGCTAATTAAGGTCATCATTTTCTTATTTAGGGTCTCTTTCCACCAGGCCAGGGTGCAACCATAGGAGTGGACTTCATGATTAAGACTGTAGAAATTGATGGAGAAAAAGTAAAAGTAAGAAATTATTTTATTTAATGTGGAAATGATTAAAAAATGAAAAGGTACTGTTTGATGCATCCTACGATCACAGGCCTTCAAAATCCAGAATATATACTTTCTTTTTACCGCCTGCGATAAGCAGTTAGCATTTCCCCGATCGAGAACTCACAATTTGATTGGCTGTCGCAACACTTCGACAGAAATCATGTGTAAGTCATTGCGCATAATTAGATCACGTGATTCAGTTTAATCGGGCGCTTCCAAATTGGTTATAGCAGGGGGAAGAAGGAGGTACAGATTCTGGATACCTGCTTAGGAGGATATGTTAGATGGAGTGGACAGTAACTAAAATGTTACTACTTTGGAGGTTTTCCACTCGATATTGAGTCTTTGGACCCTAAAAAGCGTTCTACTAACAGAGATGTTCAACTTTACAGGTTTCACTGTATATTGGTATTTTTTACTTTTGAAAATGCAATTCATGTATCTGTGACGAACATGTGTGTTTCTACCAGCTGTAAAATGCAGACTCTATAGCAGGTGAGGCAAAACTGAAGCCAGAAGAGAATATTTTTTAAACTATAGGACAGGATTTCAGCGCTTGCATTAGGTTAGAAAATTTATGAGTCCCAAGGACGCAATTTTTTTAAAAAAGTGTGTCCTTTGAAAAAAAAGTGTGTCCCTTATTTTTCAGTTTTTGATTTCTTGCCGCGAATTTAAAACGGAAGTAAACGTTAAGTACGGACTGAATAAATGCATGTTCGTTCATTCGACA